TAGTTAAAATGGCCAATTATACCCTGGACCCCAGAGGGTTAAACATTTTTTTAAAGTAACACAATAGTTACTTTTCAAGTAATTAATTACTTTTAGAATCTTGTAACTCAGTCACTAACTCAGTTACTTTTTTCAAGAAGTAACTAGTAACTATAATAAATTACTTTTTCAAAGTAACTTGCCCCAAACTGCTCTTTTGTTTCCTTTTTTAAAATGTGTTTCAAATGTTTGCAAGGCTTGTAGGTTACTTTTATTCAGAGACAGCAGTGTGTAGTTAATGGACAATTCAGCTTATTTGAATGCGTAGCATCTTTGTCTTGTATATGTTGTAAATTTTAGCACAGTCTGGATGACAAATGACATTTTACAGTTATTGAAATGATTCATGGTAAACTCTTTTTTTAAGAGAACTCAATCAATATCCATGTTTATTTGTGCAATAACTGCAAATAAATGATCAGACCACATTTAGCTGGTAAATGTGTGATCTACTCATGTAAAGGGAAGATGACCTTTACCAGAGCTACACTGCTGAATGAAATCATGTTTGTCTGGTTTCTGGTTGCTTACAAAGGAGGAGGCCACTTAAAACCAAAAGTGGAATTTGGTTCAGGAGAGATTGTCTCAGTACATCATCACTCTCAACAATACACCAATTTCTATGAGTATAAACAGTATAAATTTTCTCTGCCTGTGAATGCTTTGACTAGTCCATCTTTTTGTTGTTTGGGGAACAATTCTTTGAAACAAAGTTTGTCTGACCAGGTGTTTGGCTGAAGTGAAAATGCAAAAACACTGAAAACTGTACCAACCAGGTACAAAACAGGTCAGGCAGGTCTCTCTTTACAGAACTAAACATGCATAACAGACGCTGTGTGAGCTTTTAGGATTGAGAAACATTTAGTGTTTTCATACGGCCGATACATTTGTGGCAACAAACAAATTGTGCTTCCTGTAACTCTGGCCTAGTGACATAAATGAAAATAACAACAGGGAGTGAGTGAGTCATAGATACTTTCTTTACAATGAGGAAATGAAAGAACAACAATTTCTCCCAGCTGTTTTTTTGTTTCGTGCTTTCTTCTTTCCAAGATGTTTAATTCTTGTAGACTTTAAACCCTGTAATATGTCTGGGGTGGTTGTAGCTCAGGCAGTAGAGCAAGTCACCTACTCAACCGAAATGTTGGTGTTTTGATTCCAGGCTGCTTTAGTCTTCTTGCCAAACATCCTTGGGTAAATGTCTTGATGCTCAGGCTCAATCATCCAGGTAAGTAAATCCCAAAAAGTTGATTCTGTTCATCTGGATGTTTTCAGTGGGAGAAACGTTTCGTCACTCAGTGACTTCTTCAGTCTCAGCTGACTGCAGGTTTCCTCAACCTTATAAACTGTACATTTGCATAATAACCAACCAAACCAGCACCATTGAATTAACAATGGAACCACTACTGATCAAAGCCCATTGACTCAAAACACCACATCTCTGTGGCATTTAAACCCCAAAACTCACTAATTTCTTTGTTTCAGTGTATTGATTGTTGCAAAGCATTTTTGATGACTTCTTCACGTTTTTTACAAAGAGGACTTTAACCATTAGGGGAAAAAACATTATCAGAGCACAGATATGGTGGGATTTAACATCTTGATGTCTGAGTCCATGTTTCTCAACTGAAAAACAAGCTAGTGTTAACTGACACATTTTTTTCCAAACCACACCCAGTCCACATATTTCACAGGTTTTTTTACTTTCACTTTAGCCATCTTGGTGTGAGGACACAACTGACTTCAGCAGGTAAGTAATACCTAGATACCTAAATGCCTTTACCGAAAGAAAACATGGGAAACTACTGACGTAAATACAATTTTCAATGTGAGGGAATAAGTGGTGATTTTTGTTTTGTTTGATCTCAGCTGACATTTCAGATTACTTCTAGCAATTTATATAAGCATTTTTGTAAAATTCTTATATGATTACATATTTTTATAGAGAACATGTCATTCCACCTCCAGAACCAGATGTTTCGTGACTTTCAGTCACTACTGGTTACAACAGGTAACCTTCTGTGTAATCATAAATTATATACTTGTGAGTTTTCAGTTTTTATTTTGTTTGTATTTATTGTCCTGGTCCTGGGTCTGTGACCCTGTGAGTTGCACT